TAAGATGTGTGGACTTCAACTCCCAGAATTCTGGGAGTTGAAGTCCACACATCTTAAAGTGGCCAAGGTTGAGAAACACTGCCCTAGATAGTACACTTTATAGTGGGCTCCCTTCTGCATCAGTGAGCCTTGGTAGGATTGCCTTTGAGTAACATTATTGCAAATAGGGATAGGTGACTGGATGTAGGCATTATGTCAGTGGGAGTGAGGGATGTTTATATAATGTCTTGACTCCATCATCTCCAAACTTTAGGACAGATTTTAGAGCAGTTTTAAAAAGATAACCAGGTGATCCTGGATCCTTGGCTGCTGTTCTTTTGCTAAAAGGATACCACATTTTTCAGCTACAGCTTACTCAAGCTAGTAGTCATGCATCCCTGGGTGAAGCTTGAGTTAATAAAGTGAGTCTAAGGTATGGATTTCCCTCGTAACTGGGCAACGGCAGCCAGCTCACCTATGCATGGGGTCTGAACAGGTTATGTGGGTGTGCGTGAAAGGTTTTGGGTCAAAGAGCAAAGCGAACCGAGGCTTAGGCAGGGCAGGTAAGGTAAGGAAAGTAGGCAGCTCCTTTTCAACATTAAGCAACTTTTAGAGAAACCAGTGGAATGGGTAGTGAGGTGAGAATGGCTGAAGCCAGCTAGACAACTAGGAGAAAACAAGGTTCACCTCCATGCTACCTGTCTCCGGGCTACCATTTTGCATCAAGAGGAGAAATTATTCCTTATGCTGAGGATTTGTGGGAAACTGCTTCTGCAGAGCTGATCTTGCCAAAAAATGCTTCGGTTTTCTGACCTGGGCCATTTCCAGCAATTCACTATTTAATGGGAAATTATCTTGGACTTGCCAGCTCAGTGAAAGGAAGCTGCCTTTGGAGCTGATGATTTTTATAAAAGCAAAAGGAAGCAAAAACTGTTAAGGCGCCTTAAAGCTGATTTTAGCTCGCATCTAATTACCCATCATGCTGGTCAACATTTCAGACTTGGTTTTTAATCCAGGCTTCTCTAACCTGGTATTTGATGTGTTGGACTACAACTCCCAGTATTCCCAAACAGCATGGGATTATGGCACTTGTAGTCTATTGCATCTGGAAAGCAATGGGATGCAAGATTGCCTTAATTTATCTTTTCTCCATGAGCCAAGGATGGTTGCTGGCCTGTGCACTGAACAAAATTGAACCTAGACTGTACCAAAACTGGGGCTTATTTTGATGTATAAAAGCTCCCTTGAAAGGGATCGACCTTCTCCGGTTTCTGTTCCAGATGTCACTGTCAAGGAAATTTAATTTCATTCACTGTGCATTCATCCCTGACAATAGCCATATTCTCTTTGTCCACCCTGCCCCATCTCCCAGGTATGTTTTAAATTATAAAGAATGTACTTATCTTTAGCGATGTGTACATAAATACATTCACATATAAATAAATGAATATATATATTTGTTGTTTACTGGAATTTCCCACTGTTTATGGTACTGGAGGTCTTGAATCATTGTGCCTTGATTGTAAATAAGCTTGAGTGGTTATTTTATGAATAAAAAAATAATATGATTTGTAACTTGTGATTTTTATTTTATTGCTGCTTTTTCAAATATACTGAATTAAATTCCCCAAAATTGTTTCAGCTCCTGATGTTTGTCACTATCAAATGATATCTGTTGGAAAATGGCTCAACAAATCTCTTGGACTCATTGCAGCATCTAACAGCGCTGTTCAGAAATCCGGCTGGTGGTCCTCCCTCCCCAGGACAATTAGTATCATGGCAATTTTCTGATAAGATACATGGACTCTAAAGACACTGAAGAGATTGTGTCTCTTCTTAGTCAGATTAAAGGGGAAAGGCTTTGGATCTGTGTGCACAAATATGGTCTCTGACTACTTCAGATTCCACTCAGCCCTGTAGAACACAATGTCTCTCTATTTGTGAGCTGAATGATGTCATTAGGAAGTGATTGCTTTGTTTACAGTTGGTTATCCAATAGTTAAATAAGACAGCCACATCTCAACACTTAACCTTCGATTCGAGAGAAATCTCTGGATTCTCATTCCAACTATTCCAACAGCAAAGTTCCAAAATAAGGATGGAGAACAGTTACCGTTGTGATATTTTGGATGTTGAGACTAGAGAAGCTTGATGTAAATGGAAAACTAAATAAAATCATAATGGGTTATTACAATTATAATTATTACAATGAGCAACAGGGAGCAAAGGAAAATAATAAAAAATAAAAGGGTTGGGGGTTAGGGGAGAAAAGTCTCAAGCTTGCTCCAGCACACTCAATTCTTCTTTTAAAAAAAATCCATCCTGGTAATATAAACAAGTTGCCAGCTGTTTTTAATCTTGGCATACTTTTAGAAACATGATCTGAAATAATAGTGTTTTCACTCCATCTGAATTTTTTGAAAAAGAGGTGTGAATAAGATTTTTCTTTGAATGTTTTTTTTTTTTTACAGGTTCTCAGCACAAATTAATCCAGGAATGTATGTTCAGTGCCAACTTGTGCTGGGAATCTAATAGAGTGTGTGTACACACACACATGTAAAACAATCCTGCTTCAGCACAATCAGAGAAATTACAATTAGGGGACCTATGTTCCTGCTTGTTTAGTCTGCTATTCAGGTGTATGTTGTCGATGAACAATAAAGTTCAAAAAAAGGGAAGAGTGAGCTATACGATATAATAATAATATTATATGGTCTACATATAATTTTAAAACGGAATGCAGAAACAGGTTCCAGGCATTCAAAATTGACATTTTAAAGTCGATGGTTTCAGAGTGCAGCTAGGAATGAAAATAAACTAAATTGATTTGCCAATTTTGAGAATACAACATCCAATTGTATAGTATCTTCCTTTCTTCTGGTTCTTTTTTTCTGTAGCTCAGTTTACCATCTTTCTTGACGAAAACTTCTGAATACTTCCAAACTTGCGCACTGCTTTTTGACCTTGCGATGTCCAGAAAAAGTATTACTGAGCAATGGATTCTGAATCGTTAAGAGGACTACTTTTTAAAATGCGATGTTCATGCACCTTAAACGAACAACTGGATTTACAGAGCACTGTTTGGACCAGACGGCTGGAGTGCCGTCTTCAGAAAGAAACGAAACGAAGGCCCGAGGTGGCATTTAAGGTTACTGTATTGTCAAGCTGCGGGCACGGAGAAGTTAAATAGGCGCGTCTCAAAAGCCCTGAGCCGCTTGCACTCCTCCCCTCCCCTTGCCACGTGGTGGTATTCTCTCCCCATTGGCTAAAAGCGTCTTGTTTTTCCGCAGTGATTGGGCTGCAGCCGTCGGAGTGCGAGGTCTTTGCAGCTGGTTGGCCGACAGCTGACGAGGGGCGGATCCTCCGGGGTCCGGGTCTACCAGCCCTTTCGCCAGTCGGTGGGCTGGCTGTCGGAGGGGCTCGGGAAGAGCCG